ATCCAGGAGAGAGAGAGAGATAGAGAGAGAGAGAGAGAGAGAGAGAGAGAGAGAGAGAGAGAGAGAGAGAGAGAGAGAGAGAGAGAGAGAGAGAGTGGAGAAGGGTGGTAGTGGTTGATACTGTGGGAACTCGGTAGGGGCACGTACAAGCTGGGCGGGGCGAGTGTAAGTGGGTCCATATCACTGAAGCTTCTCTCGCTGATGCGATTGTGCACTGTTGAGCTTGCTCAGCTATGATGCCCTCGTGGCATTGACTGTGACGTATTGACTTTCTTTGGGTAGTTCTCTATCCCGATCGTTCACTAGTCAGAAAATGCCACGTCCAGCAGGCACACTGATTAGCATCTTTAACACCTTGATCCAGCCTGATGAGAGTCGTTCTGGTTGATTTTATATTCACGAAAGGACTATGATGTGGACACCATAGCCGACCACGTGTCATTTTCTGACCCGTGATTGATGAGAGTGCTCCAGCCAGTAACAGCTAGCTTCATCTTGATGATGGATTGAAATCATTGGACCTATTGCACTGATGCTGATTAGATGATTACACTGATTCATGACTGGGCAATCATTGCTGATGACGAATTAACGGCACATGACGTGGCATGTCTCTATGACCAGGTGGCTCTGGTCTCAATGGCAGCTCGAGGCACGTGATGAAAGCCGGTGTCTTTGTGAAGCCCGTTACTTTTCCACGCTCCGGAGGCTATGTTGTTACCATTGATCTCATGGTGCGAGCTAATCAGGGGTCTAGATACGGGGAACCTATTTGTGTACAAAAGAGCTTTGTCATCAATGTCCAAAACGGAAGAAAGAAGGAAGCAGGAAAGCCCTCGGCCAATTCAGTTAATGTCTCAATTCCAATGTCTTCTGGAGTTTCCAAAGAAGTGGACTTGGGCCGCTCTGTGTCCTTTTCTACACTTCCGGAATTCCCTGATTTGGACGATGAGCCCAATCCCATGTACATTGTGAATATGCATCCAGACTTTGTGGAGGAATCTGGTGCAAAAGTTGAGCAAGGTGCAGGTCCAGGAACAGAAAAGGGAGATGAATCTGGTCAAGCTGCAAGGAAGGAGGAGGGTTCTTCTGGTGCTTCGCGGATGTTCCGTGCACGGTTGCAAGTTAACCAGGGCGGTGAAAACACACCCATGTACGCTGGAGAATGCACCTCTTTGACCTTTGCCTTCTCTCATTATGTTAATGACACCCCTTTGATGGACCTGGACCCTTACATTGGTGAGGCACTGCATTTGGTGATTGTTAAAGATGACTTGGCAGAGGTTCAACATATTCATGGAATGTTTGTGGAACGAGGCCAAGTGATAGGTGGCGATGGAGACAGCAGCAGCAGCAGCAGCAGCGTCGACGATGCAGGCGATGTGGGCGATGTGAACGAGGAAGAGGTGGCAGAAGCCACTGGAAGTCCAACGGTTGAGGAGCCACCATCTCCTGCCAATGGTATCTTGTTTATTGGGAGTGATGGCGGAGGACAGACTTTGCCTTCTGAAGGTCAATTGATTGACATAAGCGATACATCGGAAAGGGAGAATGGAAAAGGAAATGAATTGAATGATGGGGCCGTTATGGATCTCTGTCACCAGAACACAGGCATGATGTCAGGAGGGAAGACGGAGGGAGTAGATATGTCTCTACTGGGCCCGGACATTGTTGCGTATGTTAGGATTAAGAAACCAGGCAGGTATGCAGTCTTTGCGGAAGGAAGGCGGAAAAGACAAGTGCTTCTTGTTAGGTTTCTGTTAGAGGTCCAACCATTTACAGTTGTGGTCGGTATGGAACCGGAGGTCCCAGTCGTCAATGAAACAGCGAGGATCACAATCGCAGTGGAAGATCGCGAGGGAAACACCCTAGGGAGCAAAGGCAGCAGTGCCAGGAGCCTGAAGGGAGGAGTCATGCGAAACTTTGAACTATTCTTTATCAGCGATGATTTCGATGTCCTGCAGAGGGCTGATTTGCAAGGTAAGGACAACTAGGATTCAGATCTTCATTATGCTGAACAATGATGGACAACCTAAACCCTAAGGAAACTTCGATAGAGAAAATTGGATGCAGAAAGCCCTAACCTTATGATTCAATCACTAAGTCTATGATTTAACATCCTACAAAAAAGGTGGTTGATCACAAAGGTTAGGAAGCAGAACTGGATGAACAACCTAAACCATACACCCAAAACCCTAAACCCTAAACCCTAAATTCCAAATACATCAACTAAATCCTAAACCCTAAACCCTAAACCCTAACTTCAAAATACTGAACCCTAACTTGCAAGGTAAGGACAACTGGGATTCAGATCTTCATTATCCTGAACAATGATGGACAACCTAAACCCTAAGGAAACTTCGATAGAGAAACTTGGTTGCAGAAAGCCCTAACCTTATGATTCAACCACATTCAACCTCTAAGCTTACGATTGAACATTCTACAGAAAAGGTGGTTGATCCCAATGGTTCGGAGCCAGAACTGGATGAACAACCTAAACCATACACCAGAAACCCTAAACCCTAAATTCTAAATACATCAACCCTAAACCAGAAATTCCAAATACTAAATCCTAAACCCTAACTTCGAAATACTGAACCCTGAAAAATGCCGAATCTTAAACGCTAAGCCCTAAATTTCAAATCCTAAACCCTAAACCCTAAATTCCATATACTAAATCCTAAACATGAAATTCCAAATAGTAAACCTACCCCAGGGACCCCAACTATACCCTAAGAATGTAAACACCAAGGCGCTACACCTCAAGTCTTAAATCCTCACGAGTCCTAAACCTCCCCCACAATTGCAGAAATTTCAAGCCAGAAGCTGGATGTTGTCTTAGAGGGTTCATGTTAAAGGTGAAGGACTTAGATGCACAAGTGAATGATTCTCAACACTAAATCCTAAACCTTAAACCACCAGTTCACACCCCTGCCTGTCCCTGCTATTGCAGTGAACTGCACCCGGGCCTGCGCGCTTCGGCAGAGGCCCGGTAAAGCTTTGGGGCCTCTATTCTGGTGGTGCAATGGATGGGCGGACACCAAATGTGAAAACACCAAACACGGCAGACAATGAAAGCCGAAGTGCCAAGCTTCGAAAAAGGGACAAAAAAATAAAAGAAATAAAAAGAGAAAAGAAAAAGAGAAACTTCTGAGGCCCGCCACTTGGGGGGTGGAAAACGATTGTGAGGAAATAAAAAACCAGAAAAAAAAAACGAAGTTGGGGCAAAAGAAAAGACAAAAAGACAAGAAAAAAAAGGATCTGAGGGCGTACTCACACTAGCATATCTCAAATGTATCTGACAGCGTTCATGGCCATACCTAGATGTATCTGGTTGCAATTCCGTCCAAAAATACGTAGGAAATCTGTGGTGTGAGTATGCCCTGAGTGTGGGTAGTGCCCTAAGCCCGCGACTGACGGGACAAAATGTCCTCTCAGTGATGTCAGGCGCCGTCCTGCAGTGATAGGCGGGAGGAAACGTCAACTTCGTTTTTCCTTTTTTTGGTTTGATTTTGAGAAGCAACGAGCCAGACCCTCTGAATGTGGCCACAAACTCCAGAAACTTAGTGTATCTTTGCGGAACCGACCGTATTTAGGGCATCCCTCCACTACTCTCAACATGCAGAAACGACAAAAATCATGGCTGTGTATCTTTCCATCTTCTAATGGAAGATTCACTCTCGTTTTGCACATTTGCAGAGTAGTGGAGCAAGGCCCTTAGGGCATACTCACACTACCACTTTCCAGAATGCATCTGACTGCAATTGCACCCTCCCGCTGCCACGGATTTTTTGAATGTTTTTTCAGCCACCGATTTATTCAAATCTCTTTTTTTCCCTCTCTTTTTTTTTTTTTTTTTTTTTCAGCCCATGCAATTCATCCTAGCCTGACTGGCATGACACATGAGTGAAAACSGRRKWAAAAWWAAAAAACGAGATACAAAATTGAAAACAAAAAMCTACCCACGGCCTGCTTYTCARTCCATCAGCTTGCAGCAGGTCCAGCACAAAGAGGCCAGTACCCGCGCACTTTCAGGCTCGGCAAATTGATTTTTGGGATATTCAAAACAGGTATGGGTGAACTGGTGGTTTAAGCTGCAGGTTCTACACCTGGACCCTTCAAACGTAAATGCCATACCCTGAAAACCATACACCCTAAAACCAGAGCCCCAGAACCTGAGAAATTCTACATCTCCGCAACAATTATAGAAATCTCAAGGCAGGACTTGGACATCCTTGATGAGAGGGGTCATCATTTGAAAGATGAGGAAACCCTATGGAGAAGGGAATGATCCCCAACCCTCAACTCTAAACCCTAAACCCTAAACCCTAAACCCTAAACCCTAAGCCCTAAACCTAAGCTTAAATACTCAACCCAGAGCTTCCAACATTCTCCAATCCTCCAGACAATTAATTGATCCCAAGGTGAGGAGCTCAGGTGTAGAAGGCAACCCAAGGCGATTATCGACAATTAACACTGAACCCTAAACCCTTAACACTAATTCTGCAGGTCTCAACATGCAACTCAAGATTTGGTCATTTTCCAAAGGATTTGTCATTCCCCAAGGGGTCTACTGCCAAGATGTGGGGATTGCAGCCAGAGGGACTTGGAAGTTGGGACTATACACTAATACCCTCGACCCTAAACCCTGAACATTAACCGCTCAGCTGTAAACACTCTACCCAGAAGTGGAGGCAACATCGAAAGATCCTGAATGGACAACTAAGTTTAATTAGCACTCAAACAAGATGAAGAAAAGGGTTTGTCATTCTCATAGGGGTAAATTGCCAAGATATGGGGCTTGGTGTCAGAGGGATTTGGAACTAGAATGGAATGATCCTGAATGGTAAAAGCCCTATACACTAGTTCCCTAGACCCTAAACCCTGAACACTAACCCCTCAGCTGTAAGCACTCTACCCTGAACTGGAGGCCACATAGAAAGATCCTGAATGGAGAACTAAGTTTAATTAACACTAAAAAAACATAAAGCATTCCCTGGAAACACTTATCCCCCCCAACATGGAAAGATCCTAAATAGATAACTTGGATTAAAATTTCGATGATCCTTTTCAGTCAAACACTAAACCCTGAATGGTTCACAGTATCGGTCAACTTAAGGCATTCTGCAGAGGAAAGCATGGTGAAGGTGAGCTTATCCAATTTATAACCCGGATGATTACCAACAATATACCCTAAACCCTAAACCCGAAATCCTGAGCCATAAACTCTAACTCTGAATCCTAACCCCTAAGCCCCTAAACTCCTAAACTCCTAAACCCCTATACCCCTATACTCCTAAACCTTGACCCTAACCCGGAACCTTGGACCCTGAATCCTAACCCCTAAACCCCTAAACTCCTAAACCCCTAAACCCCTAAACCCCTAAACCCCTAAACTCTTAAACCCCTAGACCCCTAACCCCCTAAACCTTGACCCTAACCCGGAACCTTGGACCCTCTAGCTCCAGAACCCCTGAATACTGACCCCTCAACCTTCAACCCTGAATTTGGAACCCTAAACCCCAACCCTAAATTCTTCACCCTAAACTCTGACCTTGAGGCCTGAACCCTAAAGCCTGAATCCTAAACCCTGGAATCCTGAACACTAAACTCGAAACCTGAACCGTAAACTGTAAACTTGGATGCTCGATCCTTCTTCAAACCTCAATCCTTAAACCACCGGTACCTTTCCTCACTTGAAAAAAAATGTCGCGGCGGTTAACACGGAAATTCGTTACTGCCGCGGATTGGCTGGCAGGGCCGGCCAGATACGTCCGTGTCGTTTCGAAGTTTCATGGTGCGCAGGGCGAACTTGGGCCCGCGGCGGATATGTCGGAAAGGTACGTAAACCGTGAACTTGGATGCTCGATCCTTCTTCAATATGTCGGAAAGGTACTGGCAGTTAAACCCTGAACCTTGAGTTCTCAATCCTGAGGGTGAAACCCATTACTCAGAAGCTCTACACACGGCTGACAAAAATAGTCATAACCCGGAGTGTCTGACAATCTGGACCTATCAAAAGTAAGCTCTTATTTACAGAATCGAAATGGTCATTAATGTCTGGACCAAGTGCAAGGCCAAGTCGGCACCACTCTCGCCCTAGCCAGCGACCGCCGAGCTGTTTGGGATCCTCAGAGACTTTACGTGAGAATTCTCTCAATCAAACAAAAGAGCGCTCTTGCGCCTTCGGCCTTCCATACTTAGGGGGACGCACAAGAGATGATCCTAAGCAGAGGTGACTTGCTGGCTGATTGTGAGAGCACTTGCTAAGAGAAGTTGTTTGCGAAGTAGCGGTGTTCACCGTTGGATTTGTTTGTGCATGTCCGCTCATCTTTAAGCAAAATTGATGATGAAGCCGAGGACGGCAAGGTGAAAGTACAAAATAAAGAAAAGAGAAGAAAAGAAAAGAATGGAATCCTACTTTGGATAAGATCTGTGTCGTCTTCAAGAATGCCGAGTTGCTGAGTCTGATTCGCTCAGTTTTTTTTTTTTTTTTTTTTTTTTGAATCTTGGTCATTAGTAAAACACGATACGGACAGCAAGAAGAACTCGTACACAATATGGAAGTTGAGAAATCAGCTTGACAAACTCGGTTTGATGGAATTTGGTCGGGGTTGATTTGGCTGGATTTATCTTGATGACGCGTGTGGTGGGTTTTTGAACCGTTTTTCTATGTAACATTTCAGAACATAAGTCACCTCAAGGGAAACTGGTGTTCACCGGCGAGCATGCTTTTCCCGTTTCTGGAGGATTCCTCGTTATGAGTGCGTTCTCGGTCATGAGAAAGTCGAGCTTTTCTGCTCCCTTGCACATTCATAGTTCGAAAACAGTCATGGCTGCCTCATCGCCCACGAGTCTGGATGTCCTCGAGCCGGTCCTTGCACGTCCATCCCTGTCTGATTCTTCATCTCCGGTGCAGGTGACCCCTGCCATCTCTGTCAGCAATGCCGGACAGCTGGCAAAAGGGAAGCCGGTCTCAATTTCCAAAATCAGAGCCGCAGCTGGCGGGCTGCGTTTTCGCGTCAAGATGAGCATCAATGGCTTCGAGAGTACGCGAGCCGTCACGGGGGACTGCACGCGGATCCGTTTCCATCTGGTTAACGACTTCACGGAGGAAGACGAAACTGGGATCGCACCAGAGTTTGTCATCATCATGAAAGATGATAAAAAGCCTTGGGACAGTGGTGCAGCAAGCAGCGGTAATCAGAGTCTTGTCCTGCTTACTAAGGGCTTCCCGGAGGACAGAACAGGACGCATACTCTATGGGCAGAATCCGATCGACGAATCACAGCACGACATGTGCCTCCTTCATGCAAAAGTCGATGGACTCAGTGGAAATGCCCAAGGAGTGTCAGAAAACTTAGGGAGCGGGGTGTCTGCGTTCGTAACATTTTCGGATGTCGGATTTTATTGGGTATTTGTTGGGGTTATGAAGGTTTCCCCTGGAGAAGGCCATGCTGATGGTGCGATTCCTGGTGAACGGGGTATTGTTGCCCGGTTCCCGATCCGAGTTTGCAGTGGTGATGTGGAGACGCACGATTGGTCAGATGAATGTAGCTGGGTGAATGGGATCCCAACTGCAGACAATGATGTGTAAGAAGTCCAACCAATCCACCCTGTCATGCAGCCTTCTTTCTTTCCCCAAACACAACTAGTTTCGAATCGGGGCAAAGGGCTGGGGTGCATTCATGACGAGGGGTTGTTATGTTTGGGGGAAGAAGGTAGCCATCAAAGAAGAAGCAGGACAGAAAATGCAGCAGAATGCACTAGAAGGAAGAAAAAAACAAGCGGAAACCACGAAGCATGACGGCATCGGCCATCTGATCTTCCAGATATCTGCTGGACAACCTGATCCCCGAGCGTAGGTATAAAGGAGGGGTTCTCGGGTCACCGTTCAGCCTTTCCACTGGCGGAAACATGGTTATACCTGCGTTTTAATGTGAGATTTGACCCCTGAATGACTCTACCAAGTTACTTATGATACAGTAGCAGTTTATATTATTCTAGATCGATATTGTACTACAGTACTAGAGTATAAGATATATATTGTTCACGAGTACTGGAGTACCAGAGTACTAGAGTACTCTAGTACTAGAATACTCTAGTACTAGAGGACTAGAGTACTCGAGTGCTCTAGTACTAAAATACTCCAGTACTCTATGGGTACTAGAGTACTAGAGTAGCACTTGACATTGTACTAGAGTACTCGAGTACTCTAGTGGCAGTTAATATTGTACTAGAGTACTAGAGTACTAGATCGATATTGTACTGGAGTACTACCTCACGGAGTATATCTTGCGTCTAAAGCTTTCATAATATAATATCCGATTTTGAAACTGGGAAATTTCGCTAACATGCCTTGATCGACACCTAGCCAAGCTATATATATGTTGGATAGGAGATAGATATTGTTGTATATAATTTAAGTGGATATTGATCATGTTTTACAATTTGTAACATGGTCTTTTCATTCCTTACATCATAGGACAAGTGACAGCCTGTTTAGTTGTGCAACTGGTGTTGTGGGTAGGTGATAGTCCGCTTTGGTTTACGCGAACTTTGCGGTCAAGGGTATATTCATGCATTAAGCATTAGAGGGGAGGGCGGGGGGGGGGGGGG